CAGGAGCACCCCCAACAGACGGAGGACTGGCAGGGTCAGAGACCAGAGCGGTGGCGTAGTCTAGGCGGCGGGTAGAGGCGAAGTCAGCGACCGCAGCGACAAGAGCGTCAAAACACGAGACCGGAACAGACGGGTCGGTAACGAGAGAGGCAAGGACCCGAGGAAGGAGAGGACGGGCAACACAAAGGTAGTCATCCAGAGGGGGGGGAGCAACGACAAGGGAGGACGGAGGAGGGGACAGGAGAAGGGGGGGACGAGACGCGTGGGAACGAAGCAACATAGGGTGAGAGCGCGTGACAGGGGAGACAGGACGAGCACGGGAGGGACGGCGAGACAAGACGTGAGACGGAGGAGTCAGGTCAGGAGACAGAGGAGGGGACACAAGGGGAGAGCGAGGGGGAAGACGAGCCGGGCACAAGTCCGGCGGAGGGAACACAGGGCCGTAAACGGGAAGAGGAGGAGACGGGAGGAGAGGAACGGATGCAAGGTCAGGGGACGGAAGGCCGAGCAGGCGAAGGGCAAACACCGGCGGGGACTGCTGCTACGGCGGCACAACGCCGACACCGGGACCGCAAGCTGCTCCTCGGCTACCACCGGCAGACTCCACTCCAGCACTCCCAGAAGGAACACTCGGAGGGCCCGACACCCCTCGAGCACCGGCACCGCCCCCAGGGACACCGGGGCTAGGACCCACTCTAACGCCAGCACCCCTAGAGGCAACGAACGGCTGCTGCGACTGAGGCGGAAGCGGCGGGGACGACGGCAATGACAGCAGAGGCGACGGCGGCTGCAGAGGCGGTGGAGGAGGAGATCCCTGGGGAGGGGCAGACGGCGAGGACTGCACCGCAGGACCACCAGAGTAAGAAGACCCCTCAACCGGGACAATCGGCGAGAGAGGAGTGACGTGGGACACACCAGAGGGGGCAAGACGAGGAGGGGGAGGGGGGGGGGCAGGGACCACCGGGGAAGGAGGGACCAAGAACAGGGGGGGGGTAACCGGGGGACCGCGGTGGGGGAAGCGACGGTAGAAGGAGACGGACTCGTCAAAGGTGACGTCGCGGGAGTGAAAGAAGTGGTGAGACGGCGGGTGGTAGAAGTGCTTGCCGGACGCGTCAAGGGGAAAACCTAGGAAGACGCAGGGAAGGGTGCGGGCAGTGAGCTTGTCCATGCCAGAGGCACGAACGTGAGCAAGGCAGCCCCAGACGTGGAACGCAGTCGCGTCACCAGGTGACCCGGTCCAAAAACGGGTCGGCGAAACCTGCGGCTGCTGGGGTTGCGGCCACAGGTTAAGCTGGTGAGAAGCGTAGCGCATGGCGAACGGCCACAGAAAATGGGGTGCACCGGCATGGATCATGGAGGTGCGAGCAACCTCCATGACCAAGCCGATGCGTCGCTCAGCGACCCCATTTTGCTGTGGGGAGTCCGGCAGGGTGAACGTTTGGGTGATGCCCTCCGCATGACAGAAGCGACCAAGGACACCTGAGGCAAACTCGCCACCACGGTCGGAGTGAAGACGCAAGACAGGGAGAGCTCGGTGGACACGCGCAGAGACAAGCCAGGGGATGAGAGCGTCAGGCACATCGGCCTTCAGCTCCAGGGGAAAGACTATGGTGTAGCGAGTGAAGTCGTCGACAAGCACGAGGAAGTAGCGCTCTCGACGCGGCCCATGGACGGGGGCGGGGACCCAGACGTCCATGTGCAGGGTCTACAGCGGCGCGTCGGTAGGGGGAAACGAGGAGGAGTGAGGGGCACGGCGAAGCCGACCCTCGACGCATGGCGTGCAAGGTGGGGCGGGGGAGGAGGGAAAAGCGGGGAGAGAACCAGGGAGACCAAGGACGAGACCGTGCTGGGACATGTGACGCAGACGCAGGAGCGCAGGGTGACCTAGGCGGTGGTGCCAAAGGAGAGTCGGGTGAGTGAGGGACTGACAGGAGCAGGCAGCAGCAACCTGAGTAGACGCAGCGACCTGAAGGGGCGCGCCAGCCCGGGGGGTCACGGTGTCCAGGGTGAACAGGCCGGACACCAGGTCCCGGGGGAACGTGGACAGGGGGGCACCTGTGGCGGCCTTGGTACAGACAGCATACCGCTCGTGACCAGGGAACGTAGTGGTGACGCCAAGGTCCTGGAGGCAGCCGACACCAACTAGGTTCCTGGAGAACGAGGGGATATGCAGACCTGTGAGAGAGCCCGAAGGAACTGCCGGACAGGGAAGGGTGGTGGAACTGCGGGCAACTAGCTGCAGCAAGAATAGGAAGCGGCGTCAGTGTAGTGAAGTCGCGGAAGAAGCACCGGGAAGCGCCAGAGTCCAAGGTGAAGGAAAGCGAAGCAGTGACGTCCGGCGACGGGGCGACGGCGGAAGCACCAAGGCTAAACAAAGCAGGGGCTCCTACGCCTGACACAGCAGGCGAGACTGAGCTAAGCACACCTACACTAGACGACAATGAGTAATAAGCGGGAAGCACACTAGAGTCATCAGCATACATCACATGCAGAACAAAACTATGGCATCCATGTCCATGTCAAAAATTTGAATCCTACGACTAAGCAAACAGTGCCAGTCCGGGAGGTCTGGCGACGGGCCGAAGCGCTGACGAAACAGGTCGTCCAGGCGACAAAAACAGCGAGGAGTGGTATGAACGATCTTATCGCAAACGAAGCCGCGGCGAGGACCGGTCTGGATCTGGTACTGACAATGCAGGCCTCCCGAGCCACCACCCGTCACACCACCACGCGCACGATCACCTCCAGCGCCGGGCTACCCGGGAGGGAGGACACTCGCCTTCCTCGTCTGCGGCGGCTGCTGCGGTTGCTGCAACTGCTGCGGCTGCTGCGGCTGCTGCTGCTGCTGCTGCAGAGGCGGCTGCTCAGCTGAGCCGGGCAGGGTCCCCTCGTCTGCTCCAGTACCAGACGACCCGACTCCACAACCACCCCCGCCTGCACCCCCTCCTCCTCCGCCGCGCCCAGCCTTGGGGCGGCGGCCCTTCCCCGAATGGAACAGCGCTGCAGCAGCGGTCTCAGCCACAGTGGCAGAACCGTCGGAGAAGGTACACTAAGCGGGGGCACAACCCTGAAAGATAGGGACCGGCACAGTACCGCTCGCCTGGGCGATGGAGCGGTGGCGGGTCTCAATAACAGTCAGGGTGTCTACAAAGTCGGTGAGGGTGAGCTCACCGGGGTGAATGCTAAGGAAGCGGTCGCGGGCGCCGGCAAGGCGGTCAGAGAGGCGGGTGGCAAGTAGGTAGAGGGTAGAGGTAATGGGCGGCTGGTGGGCTCGAAGCTATGCGTCAGTGCAGGCAGCGCGCCAGGTCTCATGTATTGTGCACAGGTGGGCAGCTAGGTCAGCGACAGTGGGGAAAGACGCAAGGTCAGGAAAGAGCATCGGAAGGATCAGACGACCCACCGAGGCAGCAGGAGGGGTGGAATAGCGCTTGATGACAGCATCTAAGGAAGCCTGGGCGATAGTGATGGACCTAAAGCGAGGGCGCTCATACGGGGGAAGGGCATTGCTAATGGGAAGTTGGGCGACAGCGTCTCGGGAAAGCCAGACAGAGCGTGCAAGGGCAGCGGCTGCAATAGACTCGCCCTCAGCGGGTGTGGGGTCAGCGGACAGCACAGCAGGGGGGTCTGGGTAGGGGAGCGTACCGTCAAGGTGTGCGAAAAGTGGGTGGCCATCCCGCCGCTGGCCAGTGAGGTGGCGGCGGAGGTCGGCGAGCCACACCTCAAACTCCAGAGGCTGGCCGTCAGCGTCGAAGCGAAGCTCCGCCGCCATCAGGAGCAGTGCAGGACTGTACAGGTCGGTACAGTGTGGTGCAGTGCGGTGCAGTGCGGTGCAGGGCGGTGGAGTGCGGTACAGGGCGATGCAGTGCGGTGCAATGCGGTACCGTGCGGTGCAGGTGATGGGGAACCGTGCCAGGAAGAGTGCAGGGCCGGAGCAGGCACGACGAGCAAGCCGCACACAGCTCGGGGTAGGACGAGCGCGGGGGCCAGGAGCAGCGGGCACCAGGCCGACGGGACGAGCGCAGGGCTGACGGGGTGGGCGCGGGGCCGGCTGGGACGGGCGCGGGGTCGGCTGGGACGGGCGCGGGGTCGGCTGGGACGGGCGCGGGGCCGGCTGGGACGGGCGCAGGGGCCGAGCGGACGGGCGCGGAGGTTGCGAGGGCGGGCGCGGGGCCGGCTGGGACGGGCGAAGGGGCCGACGAGGACGAGCGCAGGGACCGCTAGGGTGAGCGCGGGGGCCGCTAGCGCGTGCGCTGGGGCGGGCACGAGGGGCCGCTAGGGCGAGCACGGGGGCCGCTAGGGCGGGCGCTAGGGCGGGCACGAGGGGCCGCTAGGGCGGGGCGCTAGGGCGGGCACGGGGCCGGCTAGGACGGGCGCTAGGGCGGGCACAGGTGAGGGGCCGCTAGGGCGGGGCGCTAGGGCGGGCACGGGTGAGGGGCCGCTAGGGCGGGGCGCTAGGGCGGGCACGGGGCCGGCTAGGACGGGCGCTAGGGCGGGCACAGGCGTGGGGCGCTAGGGCGGGCACGAGGGGCCGCTAGGGCGGGCACAGGCGTGGGGCCGAGAGGGCGGGCACGGGGGCCGCTAGGGCGGGCACGGGGCCGGCTAGGACGGGCGCAGGGGGGGGGCGCTAGGGCGGGCACGGGGGCTGCTAGGGCGGGCACGGGGCTTGCTAGAACGGGCGCTAGGGCCGAGGGGAGGTGGCGCGCGGGGCGCGACTAGGACGGGCGCGACTAGGGCGGGCGCTGCTAGGAGAGGCGGGTAGGTCCTAGAGCGGAAGCGTGGGTGGGCGGGGACCTACCTACTGCTGATACCATCTTAGAACTGAATGAATAATTAGAGAGGGAGAGTACAAGTGAATATACCTAAGTGTTGTACCCTCTAAGAGATGATCCTATACAGTCTATGCAAACATAAGAGATACACATGTTTGACATCTGTTTCAGGCTGGAAATCCTTTAAGGCTGATCATTCAGGCTGACCAAAACAAGAACATACAATATTTCAGGCCTCAGAAACAAAAGCTGGAAAAACAGGACGACCCTAAAAAAACACCTTCATATACAACATATCAGGGCATTTTGTCCTGACTTCTGAAGCCCTGCTGTGGAAGCGAAAAGCATATCCCAGGTGAACTGAGTAATATTGATTGCAAAACGTTATATACCAGCGTGCCAGTAACATTGAATGCATTTTGCAACGTGTCTCTCTAGAGGTTCCTTCTACATGGCCAGCTTCTTGATCCCAGGAAACGAGGGCCGGATTGCTATGAGAGAATCACCATAGCCCACGGCATCCCCATCTTCCACCAAGAACTTTACCACCTCCCCAGCATGCTCCGACTGCAAAGCGGGCATAAGAAAGGAAAAAAACGTGGGTGCATGAGAACGCCTGGCATGCCTGATGAGGGGGGGCATGTTGGCATCAGGAAAGGGTTGCTGCGTGCAAGAGACAATTAGGGAGAAGAGCAAAGCCAAGTGATACGCATAGACAGTACACAAAATGCTGTACCGAGGAGTCTCAAACGGTGTTTTTATCCATGGCTGGTATACCTCGATCGCAAGTTGTGTACCCAGCTGCTCCAAATAGCACACCACCTGCCCCTTCTTTATCTCCGAGCCCTGCCATAGGGAGAAAGGCAAAAAACAGAACAAAACAGGAGCACATCAGATACAGTGTTATGCCACAGCACATAGAAGGCACGTGCAACAGCAGAAACAACCGCCCTCATTGACCATCGCAGCACTAAAAAGCATCCATGGCATGGCATGGCGTTGCAGGGTCCATGCTATGATGCAACATTGCTCAAGAGTCACACTGCCTACCCCACCCGCCTCCTTTCTCCCCACCCCAACCCAAACCACTGTCTTCCTCTCTCTCTCTCTCTCTCTCTCTCTCTCTCTCTCTCTCTCTCTCTCTCTCTCTCTCTCTCTCTCTCTCTCTCTCTCTTTCCCTCTCTCTCCTCCCTTTTTCTTTCTCCCTTTCTTTCTCCCTCTCCCTCTCTCTCTCTCTCTCTCTCTCTCTCTCTCTCTCTCTCTCTCTCTCTCTCTCTCTCTCTCTCTCTCTCTCTCTCTCTCTCTCTCTCTCTCTCTCTCACCTCAGCAACTAGTGGCTTGCCCGTCTTGCCCTTCACCTGCCGCCCACGGCGCATGATGCCCACCTGTGGGGATGGTGGGGAGGGAGGGGGGGGGGGAAGAGGGGAGGGGGAGGGGGAGGGGGAGGGGGTGGGGGAGGGGTGAGGGAGGGGGGAAGAGGGCACGTGGGGAGGGAGGAGGCACGTGGACTGTAGTGAGAGCATGGGGAGACGAATACGTGTACAGAGAGAACGTGAGGAGGGACACGGATGAGAGAGACAGCATGTAACCGTGCATGGCGAAAGACACTTCTACAGAGTTAACCTATGCATGCTCGTTCTGACTCACCCGCGGTGCGGTCACGTATTGAAGCCCTTCATCCACGCCTTCCTCCCCGTCAGCCGCAGCAGGGGGCGCGGCAACGGGCGCAGAGGGGGCAATTGCAGCCAGGGACGCAGGCGGAAGCGAGTCGAACATGGGGGGAAGGGGGGCGTGTTGCGCAAAGGCTTGCGCCTGCGCGGCCTTGATCCCCCCTACGTCCCTGCGCACGTGCAGCTCCATCTTGCCTATCTGATTGGTCCAGGCAGGTGAGAGATGGAGTGAACATGGTGCAGCGTAAGTTGCACCGAAAAGCCCAGGGTTAAGTCGTGCTATTATTAGTACGAAGCAATCTCGTTGAATGAACGGATGAAGTAGGTGGGGCTCGGTTATACAGGGTTCTGTGAGTTGCTCGCACCTTGATTCTAAGCTCTGCGATCTTGGTCTCGTCGCAGAGCTCCATCAGCAGCGACTGGATCTGAGGGGGAGGCGAAGGAAGGCATGTAAGGAGGAGTGCTCTGAGTCAGTGAAAGCACATGTGCTCCGAGTCTCGTGGCAGAGCTCCATTAGTAGCGACTGGATCTGAGGGCACAGTTGAAGGGAAAGTTCATCACTAGCAACAATAGTGATGATGCTTCCGCACGAATTGGGATGATGATTTATCACCTCTCTTACTTCTCGCCGTTTTGTTAGAAACGCGACGCTGTCACAAGCACGATGACGCGTAGACGTGGACAATTGCGACTTATTTCTGCGGTTACTAGCAGCACGAAAACGAACCTCGAAGGCACTCGGAAGAGGGATGTCATCATGGCTGCTCTCCGCAGCCTCCTCCTCCTGTTCGGCCTTGATCTTTGAGTCGACCCAAAAGTCACCACGCACCTCGAAGGCAGTCGGAAGAGGGACGTCATCATCATGGCTACTCTCCGCAACCTCTTTCATTTCGGCCTTGACCTTCTCCTCTGCTTTGACCTTTAATTCGCCTCAAAAGACACCGCGCACCTCGAAGGCGGTGGGAAGGGGGATGTCATCATGGCTGCTCTCCGCAACCTCCTCCTCCTTTCCGGCCTTGATCGTCTCCTCTGCTTTGTCTCCCCGAGCAACTGTTGCATCAGCCCAGACGGCCGAGGGGTCACGGGAGGTAAAGGGGAACAATAAGGAAGAAAACAATATGATCGGCCGTCAATCCTGAAGGTTGGCTGCACAATCCTGACGGGGTATGATTCTGTACGAGATCTTCATCAGAGGTACCTAACAGCGTCCGATTGAAGATCCCTTCAACTAATTAAAAATCTTGGCGACGGTACTCACGGAAATTGCCGACCGGGACCGCGTGGAGGATCTAACGATCAGTGGCAACCGCGTGCCTCTTCTGGATGATCGATGCTCTCTGCGAATAATTCAGCAGGAGTTCCGTTCCTGAGAATTCTCATCAACCAAATATACCTTGCAGCGTGGAGGATCTTACCGAGACGGTCCGTGGCGATGGCGTGCCTTCTTTGGATCGAGCCTCGCCGCGACGAGCAAGCAAATCGCAGAGGCGAGGCCGCTGCGATTCGCGACGACGACGATTGCGACAGTGATCTTCCGGGTTGCGACGATGACGCGGATGCGGAAGCAGCGATGCGCGCTACAGCCGAAGAAACGGCGGCTGTTCGGGCAAAACAGGGAAAGCAAGAGTTGGATTCAGCTCGATCGTGTCCTTCATCTCGCACGTTAGCGACTCGCACGGTGCTAACGAGTGATTAAAACACACGCGTTGAACAGATCGTAGTAAAGTGAAATCAGGGATCCTACGTGGAGGATCGAAACGCGGAGCACCTTGAGAGGAGGTGGTGAGGGCAGCCATGTTTCCTTCAGTACGGCAGATCTTGGGAAGTTGAGAGGGAAGCAAGCGACTGAATCAGCACCGTGCGAGGAAATTATCGACGAAAATGCCAGAGGCTGCCAGTGGCAAACACGGCCTTCAAAATGGCCCTCTTCGGGGAAAAGCACGTCAGCCTCCCTCGGTTTCGCCGAAGAAACACAGACGCGAAGTCACGGTTCTCCTACGACTTATCTGTCACGTAATGAATCTGTCAGATCAACATAGGCGGTGGGATGGCGGATGGCATGGCATGGCAGGAGGACTATTGTGAGTCCATGAAACAAGAAAAACAGTTTCTCTTGTGGCTAGCAGCTACTAGCCAAGGTGGTGCAAGCAGGAGGCCGAAGGGGAGGCAGGGGAGTCACCTGCTGCTGGGACATCCAAAAAGCGCATCTCCCTTGGTTTCATTGCATATCTAGGATCTAAATGTCGACGTCAGATCGAGCGGCGACAAGCGACTGTCGGGTCAGCCGAAGGTAGCATCGACGGTTGTTAGTAGCTGTCGTATGCCTTACGGAGGGGAAATGCTGGAGATGAGATGGCAAGGAAGAGACAGCAGAAAGCATCATCGACCAATGAAAAAGTAGGCCAGGCCAACCACAAAACGGCATGGGCAGTTGACAGCCGCTGGATGCGGTGGTCCAACCTCGATGCCGCGTCGACGAGACCATCGATGCATTGAGCAACCAGGTTGCGCGGCGCGGTTGTGCCCAAATGCTGGGATGGAAACGATAAGATGCACGGCACGGCCCCTGCTGGTGGTCAGGAACTGTCTGGTGATGTGGCAGGCAATATCTGCGGTTGTGACAGCTCCGTTGGAAGAATCAGCTTGGGTTCTGAACTTCCCGACAGATTGCACTCAAGGAGGTGTTTCTGTTACTGTACCTTCATACACGCGTGCTCTAGTTTTTACTGTATTCACTTAGAGATGTGCTGAAAATGTTAATACAGAGTATGCAGCCCCACGATACCTACTGTATACAGCGTGCGCTAACCAGCACCCGCCATGCTGATTGGCTGACCTCCGCAAATCTCGACCGTTCCTTGTTTAATCGAGCGGTCCACATTCATGCATGTGGGGACCACATGCAGTGGCACCACCACCCACCCAGGGATTCCCTTCCACTTCAAGACAGATTTCAGTGGATTTCGCCTTTCAAGTGGCGGAATTACTAACTCCTGACCAGCCTCTAAGAAGGCACGGACAGCATTAAGGTCATGAGTCCATACTCCCATAGCATATGCAGGACAACTCATGGTAAACTACGAAACCTAGCAACGAGCTGCGTTAGTCAAGGGCCTGTTCAGTTACAGAGTCTAAGCAGAGCGGGGAGTTGGTTCCTACGAGCGATGGCGATTCCCCATCACCCAAGGAAAAGGAGGGGTAAAACGTGGGACTGTCCGAAATGCCTTCCATATCCTGCTTGAACGTCAGGACGGGTGTCGGAATCCCATCCATAATAGACGCTTGAATCCCATCCGTAGATCCTTGAATCTGATCCATACATGCTGGAATCCCATCCGTAGATCCTTGAATTTGAACCATTGATGCTGGAATCCCATCCGCAAGTTGGCCCTGACCTAGCTGGCCTAGCTGGCCTAGCTGGCCTAGCGGCTTGACTTCCACGGAATGGCTCTGACTTTCAGGCACATGCTGCTGAGGGTCCAGGAGTTGCTGGTGGGTGTCCAAGGAAGGTGAGTGACTTCTAGGGAATGGATTAGGTGTTAGACGCTGCTCTCCTTGTATGGTCCAAGTCTCCTCAAGAGCAGGGTGCTGCTGTGCATCTGCCAACGGATCTTGCTGCTGCTGCTGCTGCTGCTGTGATTGGAATGGTCCGTGCTGATACCCGGGAGGCTGCTGCTGATCATGATACTCATGCTGACGCTGTCCCAGCTGTCCCAGCTGTCCTAGCTGACCGAATTCCTGCTGCGTGGCTGATTGGGGCCCCTCCACTGCATGCCCCTGTGAATAGCTTGCTGGGCTGTTGCCTGATGTGCACAGCATTGCCTCTGAAGCACCTGATGGCATCACATCTGATGGCATGAACCCTGAGGGGAAATTTGACGGACATTGCGTGGCATTTGAAGAGAGGCCTCCTGATGGCATGCGTCCTGAAGCCACATCACCTGATGGTACGTGATAATATGGGAAGGAGCCTGATGGTGCTTGATGTGACTGGTCGGGAGCTGGTGAGCTGCCATGCATGGGCTGGGGAATAGGCTGGGGAATGTGCTGCGATGGCTGTATTACAAACTGCGAGGTCTGCGGACCAGACTGAAAGGGCTGTGATTCGGATTGCGAGTGGAAGGGCTCTGCCATGCTCTGCTGCTGTTGGCTTCTCTCACCAAAACCGTGCTGCTGCTGCTGCTGTGGCTGCTGCTGTTGGCCTGAAGACCATTGCTGGCCTTGATGATGGCAGGCGCCAGTGATTGTCACCTGCTGCTCCTGATGTGGCATGCCCTGATGAGACATGCCCGGATGAGGCATGCCCGGATGAGGCATGCCCGGATGAGGCATGACCTGATGATCTGCATCCCCAGCCCCGTCGCCCATCTGCGTGTCTTGGCCTGCAGGCATCATTGGCATGCCATCAGGTGATATGCTGCTGGGAGCAGGTGAGTGAGCAGACAGAGTGTCTGATGGGCTTTGGTTGGGGGGTAAAGCGCCTGGGGACGTGTGGTGGTGGTGGTGGTGGTGGTTGCCGTGCTGAAGGTGGCATGTGCAAGAGGTGTGCAAGGGAGCGCTGCTGGTGTTGTCCTGATGCTGATGCTGATGCTGTTGCTGGTGCGGTTGGTGGTGATGGTGATGCTCTTGGTACTGTTGGTGGTGCTGGTGCTGCTGCTGGTGCTGCTGATGGTGCTCTTGATACTGTTGGTGGTGCTGGTGTTGCTGCTGGTGCTGGTGTTGGTGCTGGTGCTGATGTTGGTGCTGGTGCTGCTGTTGGTGCTGGTGCTGGTGTTGGTGCTGGTCCTGATGGTGCTGCTGTTGGTGCTGCTGTTGGTTATACTGCTCGTGCTGTTGTTGCTGTTGCGGGTGGAGGGTCCCGTGATCGTTTCCCTGATGATGGTTTTGAATGTAGCTGCTTGGAGCAACAATCAGGTGCTGCTGGCCCTGCTGGTGCGTGTGGTGAAGCTGGTACTGCACCTGCATTTGCTGGGGCTGCTGCTGCTGCTGCTGCTGCTGCTCGTCCCATGCGGATAACTGTTGCGCCTTTCCCTCTCCTTCCATCCCGACCATTCCATCCCTACCTGGGCCTCCCTGCACCATCCCATTGTGCACTCGACCTGCATTCACACCCCCCCTCTCAGGCGGACTCGCTTCAAAGGAGAGCCTACTCTGGCTCGGAGCAAACGCGCCCGAGGTTTGGGTGGAAGGGCTCCGTTCTAGCGCGTGCCGCCGCAGGGAGGGCGCATCTGGGGCAGGCCACGACTGCTGTGGCACCTCGACAGTGGAACGGCTTCTCCCTAGCGCATATTTTCTCAGGGAGGGCGCATCTGGGGAGGGTGCATCTGGAGCAGGCCACGAGTGCGACCCAGAGGCAGCTGCAGGTGGGGACTGGATGATGCACTGTACAGGGGTGGTGGGCCGTACGAGGGGCAAAATCAGGGGCCGCAGGGGTGACAGGTGAGTGGAGTCAACGGAGCATTGTGTAGGGCTATTAAGTGACTTGTGAAGAGGCTGGAGAGGTAGCTGTGCCAGGCTGATAGGGCGTATGTGAGGCAGTGTTGGGAGGCTTGGGAGGCTTGGCAAGGCTGGGAAGGTTTGGAAGGTTTGGAAGGTTGGGAGGCGCAAGGGAGGGAATCTGGTTGCCTCGATGGATGGACGCTTCGCCTCCCGTTGGTTCTCCTCTTGCTGTTGCTGCTGAAACTGATGCTCCTGCTGTTGGTACTCAAACTTGAGCTGCTGCTGCGGCGGCGGCGGCGGCTGCGGCATATGAGGTGCTTGTGGTTGTTGCTGCCACTGCTGCTGCTGCTGCTGCTGCTGCTGCTGCTGCTGCTGCTGCCAGGGCTGTTGGTGCTGCTGCTGCTGCTGTTGCTGTTGTTGCTGCTGCCATGGCTCTTGATTCATGTTCATTTCTGAATATGACTGGTACACAGGGTTTAGGGTTGCATGCTCGAGCTGCGGTTGCTGCTGTAGTTGCTGCTGCTGCGGTTGCCGCTGCGGTTGTATTTGCTGCTGTGGCTGCTGTTGCCACGTATGAGTTTCCTGGAACGTCCCCTGCGTTAAGAACGACGTCGCACATTGATCCTGAGTCCGGTGGTGGTGGTGTTGGTTCACCTGCTGTTGCTCGCTGTGGCCCTGCTGCGCACCTTGCTGCGAGAACACCTGAGAATAATCCTGAGGTTGATTCTGCTCAAACAGCTGTTCCTGCTGATGCCCCCCAAAAGATGGGGCCTGGCTTGCAAAAGGGGGGGATAGCACGTTATCCTGTTGTTGCTGCACCGGTGGCAGCTGTGGCTGTAGCTGTGGCAGTGGCTGCTGCAGCTGTGGCTGTTGCTGTGGCAGTGGCTGCTGCAGCTGTGGCTGTTGCTGTGGCAGTGGCTGCTGCAGCTGTGGCTGTTGCTGTGGCAGTGGCTGCTGCAGCTGTGGCTGTTGCTGTGGCTGTGTGAGCGTTGGAAGCTGTTGAGTAAACTGCTGAGTGTGCTGCTGCTGCTGATTTATGCCTGGTGCTTGTGGTTGCTGCTGCCACGGCTGCTGCTGTTGCTGCTGCTGCACGTGTGGTGCTTGTGGGTGTTGCTGCCACTGCGGTTGCTGCTGGTATGGTAGATGCGTTTGCACTGGCTGCTGCTGCTGCTTCTGCTGCTGCTGCTGCTGCTGATGTGATCCCTGTTGCACTTGCCATTGTGACTCGCCTCCACTCCACTGCCCTTCCTCCAATTTAACCAACCCCATCCGTCCTCCCGCCTCCATCATACCTGCATTCGCTCCGTCTCCTCTCTCTCTCTGCCCGAAGCCAGTCGACCCGGACCCTCCAGCCCCTGCTCCTGTTGTGACTGTTGCTGCTGTTGCTGCTCCTGGTATAATCGCTGCCCCAGTCGATGCTGCCGCCTCAGGAGTCATTGCTGCTCCTGATGTCCCCCCTCCTATCATATCCCCCCCTCTCGCCATCCCCCCCCCTCCAACCATCTCCCCCCCTCCAGGATACGCCATTGGCACGGCTGCCATCGTCCGTGCATCTGCCGCCCCTGCTGCTCCCCAAGGGACAGCCGCCCCCCCCGGGCTGACAAATGCTGCCGCTCCCGGACCGCCGAATGCTGCCGCCCCTACCGGGCTGGCAAGCGCTGCCACCCCACCCGTGCCGCCCAACACTGCCACCCCACCCGGCCCACCAAATGCCGCTATGCCCCCGACTCCTGGTTCCCCCGCATTCCCCTGCCCGAAAAGGTTTCCATTCCGGGGCGAATTCTCCACGCCAGGCGAATTCTCAGGTGGGGCTCGGAGCCCTGAGGAGGACATAGGAGAGGGGGAGGTGGACAGTGGAGAAGGGGACATAGGAGAGGGGGCTACGGGGGAGGCGGCGGACATGGGGTGATTGTGCTCGTGAAGATACGTCACTTTAAACGAGACTGGGCCCGAGCTGCCACCGCCTTCAAGGTTGAATTGCCAGTCCACCTGCTTTTTCGCTGGGCACGGCTCGAAATGGCACGCGCCGATGCTGACCCTGCCACCTCCGCTGTCCGCACCGCCCCCATCGCCACCACCACCGCCGCCGACACTGATGCCACCGCTCCCGCTGTTTTCTCCGCCGGTACCGCCCCCGCCGACCTGACTGTTTCCGCCGCTCCCCCGTCCCCGCGCGGCGCCGCTGCTGAGAGTGATGGGGCGTGACTTGCCGCCGCTGCCGCTGCTTGGAGTGCTGCTTACGCCAGTAGAGACTTCAGGCGGTGGGATCGCGGGTGGTTCTTGGCCCGCTGCATCCATGACTGCGGATCTACCTGACCCAGGTGTACCTGACGCTGGTGTGCTTGACGCAGGTGTACCCGGATCAGATGTACCTGATTCAGATGCCGCCGCTGCTGCTGCCTCTCCTGCTGCTGCTGCTCCTGCTCCCGCTGCTCCTGCCGCTGCCGTGCCTGTTGCCGCTGCTGATACGGGGCTTTCCTCTGGGGTCGTCCGGGGCATTGAGCTGGCGCACTTGAAGTATGACCTGGGGAATGTAGGGAGGCGGTGAGGGGGGGTGTATTGGAGGAGGCACTTGAAACATGACCTGGGAAACGTAGGGAGGCGGGGAGGAGGAGTCGATTTTATGGAGGGGGGGGGAGGAGGGGGGGGGAGAGAGATCACTCGTTATGTGATCTGGAGAACGTAGGGAGAAGGTGGTTGCGGGAGGGGAGCACCTGAAATATTACCTGGGGAAATGTAGCGAGGGGAGGGGGTTGGGTGACGAAAACACTGACCTGGGGAATGTCGGAGGAGATGAGCACATGATCTCCCATCCCCCCTCCCTTCATCCCTCCCCTCCCCCCCCCCCCCCCCTCCCCTTCCGCCTTCCTCCAGCCCCCCCACCCTCCGACCCATCCCCCCGCCCTCCATCCCGTCTCCCCCCCTCCATCCCTCCCGCCCTCCCCTCCATCCCCTTCCCCTACATCCTTTCCCCCTCCATCCCCTTCCCCTTCCCTCCCTTCCCCCTCACCTTCTTCCCCCCACTGCCATCCCGTCGCTACCGCAAGTTTCACCACCTACCGATACCACTCTCAACCAACCTAATCTTTGAGTTTCCGCTGCGCGCCAGCCGCTTCTCCCCGTATTTCAGCCAGCAGTACCCGTCGTCGGGGAGCGCCCCCTGCGGAATGCGCCGCCGGAGCGCCGCCGCCGCCGCCGCCGCCGGCGGGGGACTGGCGGAAACCGCCGGCGCTCCCGCTGGCAGGGTGCCGCTCCGCACCGGAGTCAACATTGTGGGGGCGGCGGGGGTCGTGGCGCCGATCGCGGTCATTCTATGACTACTATTTGAACTAGCATGCGGCGTCATTGCCAATGTAAACGTTACAGGGGCCCACTGTAGGGTAGAATTACTGCTACTACTGCTCCTACTAGGAGTACTACTACTGCTAACGTTCCTGCGAGGAACAGCGAACTTGTTACCACTAGTACAAGCTGCCACGGGGCGTTCTCTGGGCAATGTAGGGCTCGTCGTTGCTTTGGCTGAGGCGGCCTCAGCGGCTGGCAGTCCGGCAGCGGCGGTGAGGCGGCCGCCGAACGCGGCCCCTGGAGAAGGCGCCACTGTCCTTGGGAGAACGAAGGGATGCTCTAGAGCGGAGGGTTCTAGTATTGCACTACGACGAACGCCGCACGCCCCGCCGCCAGATGCGCAGTATGGAGCGGCCGCTGCGGCGGCATGATCTGACGCGGCGCGGGGTTTCTCAGCCGCGTGAGGCGGATCTGACAGCAGCGGCTGCATGGGAGGTTGGAAATGTGCTTCTGCTTCTACGGGTAGTCGCTTTAGTCGCTCTGCTTGTCCCTCTAGTCCCTCTAGAAGATCGCAGCGTCATCTCTTGAGAATAACAAGTTTGACCTGACACCAGCTGCACGTGAGGTACGGGATCTGGTTTATCTTCGAATTTACTCCTACGCACGCGGGAACACTGCCGAAATAATGGCTGCCAGGATGGCCGTGCGGCAGACAGACTCGCCAACCTGCTGAGTATTGTCCGAGCCACCCGCCACGACTAAACTGCGACAACGGCGGCTTTGAACGGGCAAAATAATATCACAGTATTAGGTTACTAGACAGGGCGCACGGTAGAGACTACCTAATGTCACGGTGAGGGACACACGGTGTGTGAATTTAGATGGGGGACCACGTACCGACGCGTCTGCCGCTGAAAGGTTGAAGCAAATGCGAGGCTGGAAGGAATTCCCTGACACATCGGAAAGACAGGTTGTAAGAGAATGGTCGAGCGAGAACATCCAAAGCCATAGGTTCTTCAGATTTCAGTGTTTCTCTCTCCACGCGTTTTGCCAACCACACTGCTGCAGACATTCAAGTTCAGAGCAGTGGAGCCATAGACAGTGAGGGGGATTTGCCAGCCAGTCTCACGGAGAAGGTTGCCAAACTTGTCAGCCATGCGTTTGGGACCGGAAAGGCTTGCTGTGTCTTATTATTATGTGGCAGGTAACCGATGGGTGGAGAGCAGAAATGACGAATGCTTCTTGCACGGTCGCGAATTCATTAACTAGGTTACTCAGAGTGCGAGGTGCATGGCTGAGGCTGACGAAACATTCTGCATGTGGCGAATTGGGGAGGAGAGTGATGGGGCTACATCATGCAGGCGAAATGCCAATGAGGGCTTACCTCAGGGTTTTCGTCTGCACGGCAGATCAGGGTATCTCTCTCGCAAGACCTGGATAAAATGGGTTCATGTAAAACGTTACCCGTCAATGTCCGGGTTCAGTCCTGGGATGTTTCCGTGATAACAAAAGCTCTTACGAAAAAATTATGGATTCTACCAAAGGAAACACGTAAGAGTACTCCGCTCAGCTCTTATACTTACACCTCTGGAACTTCCTTGTTAGGGCTGATTTCCCCTGAGGGAGGAATGGCGGGGTGTCGGTGGGGTAATGTGAGAAGTTCTAGTATGTGTTTGTCAAAACCTAGCACGTCACTACACGTGTTCTGGTCAAAATCTACCCGTCAGAGTCGGGGTTCATGAAAATCGAACACGTCGCAATCCGATTCCAAAAACTCGCCCGTTAATTGGTCAAAATCTGAAACATTACCTTGACAAAATAAGCCCTGCCAACATTCCTCCTGGGCTCTCCTTAAAGCCCAAAACAAAAAAAGCCAACACCCGAAAGCGAAATGACAAATGTCGTACTTTTCATCTCAAATGTGGCCAGCACAGGATCTGCCAAGTGCAGAGACGAGAGACCTTGGGGCCTTGTTCCCACACTGATCTGACGCGGAAAGCATACACTTGAGATTCGACAGGCTTGTGGGGTCTATGTACAGTAGCGAAAGGGATGCTGGCACTGAATAATAGTACACTTGAATCCCGGTAATATGTACCTCATATTTTCACAAGGGGTACCGCAGGGAGGGTTTTCCGTCGAAGAGAGGGGTTTGCAGCGGAACTTAGTGGGGAGATTCCGTAGAAGTACCTTTCGGCGAAGGTGAAAGCCAGGAAATCTCGGACGTCGATCACTGAGGTACAATACAAGGGAAGGGACTATGCGGATACAAATGAAGTATTGGAAGCGGCGGCGGAGTACTTTACAGATGTGTTTGGAGAGAAGCAGAAGCAGCAGGGGACGCCGATGTGGGAGCTGGAGCCAGGAATTCAGCTCTCAGAAGAGTATCCACTGCAGCTGTATGAGCCATGAAGCGCCTAGGAGGTGCGATGGGCTCTCGCGGAGATGGCGAATAACAAGTCTCCGGGAGCAGACGGCATGTCGAAGGAACTCCTGGAGTCACACCGGAACCTACTAGGGGAAGAAGTTATAGGGCTGATCAAGAGCTTCACCCAGTCAGCGGAGATGTCATCCAAGGTCACGACAGCTGTAACGATGTTACTGCAAAAAAAAGGTCCGACGGATCTGTTACAGAATTACCGCCCAATCTCTCTATTCAACACATCGTATTGGGTCATTGCAAAGGTGATGGCGAACATGGTAAAAAAATATGTGTACAGGGTCATCTTGGAAGGACAACGTAGATTCTTACCAAGGCGGCGTTTGGCGGATGCGGTGGCTGTGGTTGCTGACGCCATTGATGCAACAAAGAAGGACAAGGAGAACTAGCTCCTGTTACTGGTGGACTTTCAGAAGGCATATGATACGGTCGCCAGACCGTATTTGTTTGAAGTCATGAGAAAGTTAGGCTTCCCTGATACTTACGTCCGATGGGTCGAGGGATAACACCGGGGACTGCGATGAGAGTGTGCACGAATGGGTGGATGGGAGAGGAGATTGCAATGCGAGTGGGAATCCGGCAGGGCTGCCCGTTGGCACCTTACCTCTTCTTTGTGCTGTGGGGCTGTTGTACCAGGAGGTGAAGCGGAGGAGGATAGGCATCGGAGCCAAGGGGAAGAACATGTTAGCATAACTCGGATATGCAGATAACACATTTTTTTTGCTCCGGGGGAAGTATCAGTTGGAGCAGGCGGCAAACGTCTTTCAGGAATTCGGGCAAGATTTTGGGTTGGAGACAAATAACGACAAGTCAGTGGTCATTCCCCTCGGGGCGAATGTGAACCTTTCGCCGATGCAGAACCATCCATTTAAGTGGGCGTCGCCGGCAGAGCCATAGCGGTTACTGGGGGTCCGGATCACCCCGTATGGGTCGGCGGAGCCCTCCCGAAAAAAGGCATTGGAGAGGATGGGAGGAGAGTTGAGGAGGCTGGAGATTAAGTACCTGACAACAATGACGAGGGTTGCGATAATCAACAGCTATGTGATGACGATAGCACTATTTCAAGTACAGGTCTATCCTCCGCCAGATGGGATATGGACAAAGGTGCGGAAGCTGTGCCACAATTACGAATCGGGAGGGGGAGCAAATGTTGAGAAGGGCTTCATCATGTGGAGTCAAAAGCTGATGCTACTGGCGAAAGGAAGGGGGTCTGGGAGCAAGAGTGGGGGCCTTGGCATTGAGGACAGTGGGAGCGCTACTCAGTAAAAAATATATGTAGAAGGTATAGCTCGCTGAGAGGGCGGCTAATCTTCCGCTCGGTTACTCGGCCTTCTTCGCGCACCCGACGTTGCTGAAGTACTTGGAGAATGGGGAGGGGGAGATGGAAGGCCCCATGTCAAAAATTCCGGCGATGGCAAATCGATGGGAAGTGGAAGAAGAGAAGGTAACCTCCAACAAGCACATCCTCTATGGGGGGCGCACACCTTTCGACAGCCAACTGAGTATAGCGAAGCTACATGTGATAACACTGAGAGACCTAGTGTCTAAGAGGAGTAATGGAAGCAGGGACTTGAATGAGACATGGGAGCTGGTGAGAGAACTTGGGAGCGTAACGGTGGCGAGGGCAGCAAAGCTAGCTTTTGAGGCATCACCAGAGGAGTGGAAGCGGTTGCTCCTGATCCAATTGCAAGCGGAGGAGATAGCGCATGTACTTCCAATAATTGGAAGGTCGGAGCCAATGGCAGCCAGCTACGTACTGCTGCCAATAGCATTTTTGAGAACAGTACGGGCCGAGGGATATCGGTTGACGTGCATGAGGGTTAAGGCGACGTACAGTGCGGTGATATCAGAGGAGGCACCGGTGGTGTCCATAAGGATGGTTGCGACTGAGGCAGTGCCGATGTGTGTAAAGAAAGGGGTGCTGAAAGGGGTGATGGGGGATATTAGAACAAGACTGAAAGCATCGGAGGTGTGTGAGATGGAGAGCCTAGTTGCGCTGATGAAGCTGACACATACCCTAACCATAGTGGTGGGAAGCTGAAGCAGCAGGGGTCGTGGGAGGAGACGTGGGGAAGGAAGATCAACTGGAGGAGAGTCTTCAACTGAAGGGACTCATTGTCCGTGGCGAGCAAAGCGAGAGATGCACTTTTACTGATACACCGTCACAATCTACAGGTGGGCAGCAGGCTGAAGTTTTGGGGAGCCGTGCGTGCTCCCCATACTGCAGGGGGGATGAGGACACTGCACATGCGCTTTTAAAGTGCGCAAAGATTCAACCGGTGGTGGAGGCATTTAAGACGGCTCTACATATGATGAACCCGAGGAGGACTGTTCAGTCAGTGGGGGATCTACTGTTTCAAGAAGGGGCCACCAGGTCTAGGTTTCAAAAAAATACGGTCACAACAGTTGTATTGCATCATATATGGGCGTAGCGGTGTCATGCACTGTTCCGAGGCAAGCGGTTTCGTACGGGGAGGGTGATGAGGCAGGTCGGGGTAGAGTTCAAGCTACATGCAAGGACGAACAACGGCATCCAGCTAAGGAAGAGAGGAAGGATAAGGATTGGCAGCCAGGGGACATGACGGATGCACAGGGACAAGGATGAGGGCATGGTGCCTCGCAGGATATATCTCAGAGGGTCTAGTCTGCTGACGTGGAATAGTGGGTTTGAGTCCATCTTGAAGGACCCCATGACCACTTTTCAACAATGTTGATGGATCATGTGTGACTACGGAACAAGGGCACGCTATCTACGCACCCAGAAATGGTCACGTTGGGCCGCCGCCCAGTTTCAGGCTGTAAAGTTACCGCGGGATAAGTGTACATTGGTGGGTGATGTGTGACTACGGAAGAATGTTTTAGCTGGTCCGAACTGAACTTGGTGGGTAGGCTGTATTGTGTACAAAGCCAGCTCACCTCGCCACGCCCCCGCGTAACGCGGACTTGGAATGTTTGTCGTTTATTTGTCGTTTAATGGTCTGAGTCTGGCGGCAATGCGTAGGGCGCGTCCCAACTCACATGCTGTTCACAATTCACCTCGTACGGTTGAGTCTGGTGCGCGGTATTCCCAAAACGGCGAAAACTTCTTAGACCGTTACGCAGCCTACTGAACCGCGTCAAATGAGCAGTAAATGAACAAGTGGGACATCATGTGACGCACTCCAGTCTGTACAGCACAGCAACCTGACTGAAGCAAACCTTCAAGGAGGAAGCGCGTCCAAGGTGGTGATGTAACAGCGTGTTCAGAGTGCGCGTCCAAGGTGTCGAAATATTTGACGACATCATGAGATATGTCGCCTGTGGAAATTTGCCGACTTTGTACATTAACTTGACGTCGGCCGCTCTGAATAGGCTCTAAGTTTCGCCAGCAAATCCGAAAATAGGCAGGCCTTGTCTCGACTTCTGTTACTGTACTGCAAGACGCCTTGACGGAGACCGTTTGGTCAGGGCTCGTGTCGGCAACCAGGCGGCCAGCTGGAGGCCCGCGATGCGACCCACGCATGCGACGCTCCTACACCTGACATCCAGTCAATCGCTTTCTATTTAGATGTCTCGGTCTATTTACAGTTCATTGGTCCGAACACACAGGCAACGGCCCAATCGACACAAGCCCAAATATCTGCAACAATTACCACATCTGAGACGGAGACCTCCAAACGTGCAGACGAGACGTTTTCATGCCTTACACTGTTGCCCGAGGAACGCAAGACAA